TAAGGGGGTTGCGATGCTGTCTCCTTCTCACTCTTTCCCTACTGCAGCCTTCCTCCACTTCCCTGAGTCCCGGAGCTTTAATCTTTCTCCTTCTCCATCATTAAGTGCACCAACCTCTTCCTGGATCCTCTTCACCACGACCCTCCCTCCTGACTCCTCTCACTTTCAGAAGGAAGATTTCAATTTTTAAAATAATTCGTTATCACCATCTCCTTATTCAGTTGAATCAGTGCTGCCCTAATTGGCTTTTTTTTTAAAATGTTTCCTTCTTCTGATCCATGGAGGAGAAAAGAAAAGAAATGTTTCCTCAAATCATGTCCCAGATTCCCCAAATCATTAAGTGGTTAAGCTGTCTGCTTAAACAACCAATGATATGGGGAAATTGAAACTAGCTGAAAAACTGTAGGAGGAAGCTCACTTTGGTTTGATCCCAGTGATCATACAAGTTGGAAATGAACCCAGAGTGACCTTACCCACAACTGAAAAAGAAGAGCACCTGACAAGCACCAGAAAGGTGCAGGTAGGAACTCCGTAGGGGCGGGCTGGTTTGCTCTAGCAAATATGTCATCGGATCATTAAGAAAAAGAGTGAAGCAGCCCATCCCTGCAGCAGACCAAACAACAGACTAAATGTGTGTGTAGTCACCCTCTGAGATTGAAGGCTGTAAGGAATACTCTTATTGATGGAGCACCACTGCCTCCAGCTTTGTCCATGCAGATGCCTAGGCAGAGGAAGAAATGCTTGGGCTAGCAATATACAGTAGTAAGAATATTTTACACACTGACCTAGCTTATATATACTGATATTTGGTAAGGATCTGAGAGACACCTACTCAGTGGCGGCTTTTGGATTGTTGAACTCCATTCTAGGACAGCCTAGTGGCCAAATCACAAGTTGAGGCAAATTATCATTCTCTGCTATGATAGCATCTTTCTCTCACAAGTCACAGTTCTGTCAAAGTACTGCATTTGGGTCAGATCAGACTTCCTGACGCACAACATCAAAGTAAAAGCAAATTATGTGGTAGTGGGAAGGTAATGCCAGCATAAACAGGTCTCTGTTACCCTTTAAGGAAACTCGTTGTCTAATGACGTGCTAACTGGATCACCTACTTTGAGCCTTACTTAGACCTCTCCTGTTGTGCATCTGCAAGAAGGCAAATATCTTTTCATTTAGGCAAGCTTTTGAAAAACCACCGATTGGTGAGGAAAGGGCCTTTGGGGTGGGGGTGGGTATTTTTCTCTCCCTTCCCATGTGTCTTTAAGCGGTTTTTATTCAGGGGTTGTTCAATAGGATCACCTGTTCAACTGTGATTGTGTTTTTTGTTGTGTTTATTCATAAGTATGAGTGAGCCACATTAGGCCCCTCTCTTGGGAGAAAGGCAGAAAATCAGGAAGCAAACAAACAGATCTTAGTCTTATTGCTAGAGGGGTACTACTCACAGGGAGCATTTTTTTATTTGTTTTCATTGTGGATGACTGATGACATTTCTAAAATTGTTAATGACAAACAATAAGCAAAAGTAAAAGGGACTGAAAGTGGACCAGAATCCGAACAGACAACTTTAAGTTTAAAAGATTCAAGAAATCAAATGGAGATTAAATTCAAAATTAAAGAGGCTAAAATATAAACAGGAATAAATTAAAAGAAGTTGAAAGGAATATACTGAAGAACTGTATAGGAAAGATAAATGGGTGACAGATTTCACTAAAGAACTCACTTTATCTCTGCATCTGCTCAATACATATGCAGAATGTATGATGTAGGAAAGTGGATTAGACTCAGATAAAGGAAGTGTGAAAACCAGAAAATAAGAATGACTTGAACTAATTATTGAGAAAGATTAAATGAGAAAGTGAAAAGAAAGATTATAGCTGAACATTAAGACAGATATAATCACTTCAGAAGGGTTACGTACTCTATCATTAATGAGAACAATGAAGAAACCAAAATTGTTAAGGAGTTTCTGTACCCTGGTTTAATCAGCAGGCAAAACTGAAAGAGCAGCCAAGAAATCAGAAGACTGAGACTCGAAGAGGCAGGTATGAAATAAATAGAAAATATCCTAAGTAAAAAGAAGTGTTCCTGGAAACGATCACCAAGACCATCCATACTATACTGTTCCCAGTTACTATGTACGGATGTGAAAGCTGGACAGTAAAGAAAGATGAAAAAAGGGAAATGTTCATTTGAATCTAATATTGAAGGGAAACTTTATGGACAGCTGGAAAGACAAATAAGTGGGTCATATAACAAATCAAGCCCAAACACTCACTAGAAGGAAAATATGCTAGAAATAAGGCTTTTAAGTCTGGGGATGATCTAGACTACAGTGCAGCAAGAACGAATTTGAGGAGAGGCATTAAGCAAGCTAAGGCCGAAGCAAACACTCACTAGAAGGAAAAATGACTGAACTGAAGCTATTGTGGTTAGGACATATCCTAAGAAGACTGAGTTCACTGGAAATGAATAATGCTGGGAAAAGTTTAAGGCAGCAGGAAAAGAGGAGGACTTAACATGCGATGGATTGACTCAACAGAAGAAGCCTTGAGCAGGGCTGCTGCTCCTGATAGGACATTTTCGAGGTAACTAATTTATACAATTGCTGTAAGTTTTAAGCTGCTTGCTGATGGCACATAACAGTGTTTTAAATTGGGCAGTATGGCTGCTCTGTTCCTTCTGTTGCTCTGATGCCTGGGCTTTCATGCTGCCAGTCATGGCACATCCGTATCTCAGGTTTTGAGGCATGTACGGGAAGGAACCTGGAAGGGATTTGCCAGCACAAGGCAAGCAGTGGCTGGGATCTCGCCCTTCTCCTTCCTTTCTGAGAGGATAAGCAGGAACCCCACAAGCTGAGGCTGGAAGAAGAGGCTCCTGAATGCCTATCATTTTTGCCAATGCCCAGAGGCCCTGTTGTCAGGCAAGCTATGATGGTGGTGGGGAATGGTGACCTTCTGTGGGTATCCGTGGGGTTGCAAGGGGGCCTTTTACATAAAGAGACTCATTGTGCTACAGTGGTGTGTGCCACAGGTGCAAATTATGTGAAAAAATACTATTGTGCAGCTTTCCCCCCTCATCTTGAAAAATTCCTGTGGACATTCTTGACACCTGCTAAAACTGTCACAGAGGTATACATGCAAGACTCTTCAGCACAGTTGAGCAGCCCCCTTCTTTGTGAAAGTCCTAACTGGTCGGGGAATAAAGAAAAAGATGGAACTGAGTTGAAACAGTCAGAAAACCTCAGACTGATCTGACTGCCCACATTTCACGTCTTCACTTCAATTGAAAATTCAGAAGTACAGATTTTCAGCAATGCAAAACATGTTGAATGAAAGGTACAGCATACACGAAATTAAACCTTTGCTTCCACCTTGTGTTCAGCGTAGGGAATTTAAACAGTGACACAAGTTCTGATGTTAAGTTTCTGTCAGCGCATCTGAGAATAAACCTCACCTCCGTACAGTAGTTCTTTTTTAAAAGCCATTTCAAAACAAACAAACAAACAAACAAAAAACAGGTTTTGAGATGATATATTGGATTCTTTTAAATGGGAGTATCATTTGTAAAATAAACCCAGCTTTGCTAAACTCCTGCAATTAGTTCTTTCACTTTTTGTAAGTGCAAGATTATCTTGCATGAAAATGTATGCAGGAAGACGAGAGCAGTCCTCTTAGGGAAGCACCAGGAGCACTGGTGCATTGCGATTGGTGCAATTTTGACAATGATGGACATGCATACTGCATGGCAACCAGTGAGTGAGCTCAGCAGTTCCTGGGGGGAGGGAACAAATATGAAGGGCCCCTCTCCAGTCATTACCACAGATTGTACAGGCATTTTCTTACTTATTGATAGAATTATGACCAATGGTTGCTATCAATTCTGAATTATCTTTATTTCTGCTCAGTTCATGTGCTAAGAGGAGCTTTGGGAACATGCATGTGGAAAAGGAGATTGTATGTAAATAAAGGATGCAAATGATGGAGGGTCTTCAGCTTCTGCTCTTTTTTGGATTTCCTATTAATGTCTGAAGTGCCAGGAGTTCAAATCTGGCTACACAGGATGCCATGCTTGCACAAACTCCTAAACAGGACAAGCTCTAAGAGAAGGACCCTTGGAGATGACATTTGAATTGACCCAGTTAAAAATGAGGTCTTGGTGTTCTCAAAACGTGGCACCCTTGCCGTACTTGAGCAGCTGCCCGAAGGTCTCACAACCTTAGTCAATGTCAAGGAATAAATCACAATTTTCCTGAATTGTTGCCTCTTAAGAGGTAACTGGGAAGGGTGAACTTAGTGTCAGGATGGAAGAGGTCACTGTGATGAGTTTACAGTACCTGAGAAAGAATTCTGCAAAGCCTGATGTAACTGTGAAGGCATGGCGGTAGGCATATGCCAATTTCTATGCCAGTGCCTGCACCCCATAACTTAGAAAAGTGCTGCTATAGGCAGAAGGAAAACACTCTGGTGCATGAGCTCCTTTTCCTAAACACAGGCCAGGCCTGTTTATTCTCATCCTCCTACAAAGAAATCATCAGATGTAACCTGTCACCAGAGAAGGTGCTCTCTCTAGCAAGGGGGGGGGGAATCCTTCTTTCTTTCCTGCCTATTCCTGCCTTGCCTTTGCTAGCTGAACAAGATTCTGGTGAAAGCGGAAAAAGAAAAAGGTTGTTTCAAAATTTGTCACTATCTTTGCCCCATTCCTTATTTATATTTCATTTACTTGATTTCTATACCACCTTTCTCCCAGAAACTGGGACCTAAGAAATCTCACAGTATAATTAAAACAACAACAACAAGTAAAACAGAAAAAACCCAGTATACTATAAATATTAAAACATAATTAAATCAGTTACCATATTCAAACAGAATGCTGTTTAAAAACATTTTAAAACATCTAAGTTTTTATACTATTTACAAAGAATATATTTAATAATTATTTGTCAGTCAAATATTACTTTTTGAACATTAAAAATATTATTTTTTTTGAAGTCAAGGCTATGCTTTGCAGTTCCTTCCCTTCCATTTGCTGATGGTTCCAGACAGGTGCCCATAAGGAGATTCGCCAGTTCTTGCCTCTTCTTACCCATGGAGGTAAGCATCCTGCCAGTACTCTCCAGATTCCTTCAAAGAACTGCAAAGAGAAAAGGCAAACCAGGACCATTAATCCCAGGCAGTGCTGTTTCTCAAGGGTACTCTGGTCCATACCTTTCCCATACAGCTGCCCCATCTTGGTATTTCCATCCCTCACTGAGCCACACCCACTGTTCTCCTACAACTGGGACCTCCCTGTTAACCAGGGCTGGCCCAAGATATTTTGCTGCCTAAGGCAAAGGAGAAAACAACACTTTTCCCCATTCCTGACAGGATTCCCACTGTGGGTTCAATGTCCTAAAGTGACAGTTGAACCTTGTTTTCAACACTGTTGTTAGGATGCTGTTGACCACACCCAACAACACATACTGTACCAGCTTGGAGATACAGCCCTCACGGCCTCTGCCATTTGGGGCCGTCATCTCACTCGGCTCAAGGGTTGGCCCAGCCCTACTGCGAACCGACACTTACCGCACAAGATCCGCAAAAGCTGTAAGGAGAGGTTTGCATTGGTAGTTCACGCCATGCTTGGCACAAAGGGATTTCACCAGAGGAGCTACCTTCCAATAATTGTGCCGAGGCATGGTGGGGAAAAGGCTGGGGACAGAGAGAGATGGATGTCCAATGAATATTACAGAGGCTTCTGTGAACTGGAAGCATCTCAGCCATGGTCACCCAACCAAACGGGATACTTTTGTCAGCTTATCGTTACCGCAATGTTACAAACCCATGCAATCTTGCGTCATAAATAAAACCTATACTTTTGTCAGCTTATCGTTACCGCAAGTGTTACAAACCTATGCAATCTTGCGTCATAAATAAAACCTATTAACAACAGTGACAGTTTGGAAACCTAAGCCAACAGTCAAAAGAGAGAATGTCCTGAAAAGCGGATGAAAAGAACCTTCCCTTCACCTTTCCTGGGACCGTGTCTGGGTGCTGCCCTTGAAAAGGTCGGAACATGTGTTTGTTGGCTGCCCCATTTCATGGGGCAGAAGGATGTGCAAGAAAAGTCTCTCAGTGACTGCAATGGACAGGTGGGTTTATGCAGGAAGAGGGTGGCCTTAGAGATATATAGGAGTGATATATAGGAGTTAGGCAATTTAGGACTTCAACTGCAGAAACCAAAGGATGCTACTGGGGTATATTGCTATACTAATAGTATATTGCTATATTAATGGGGTGACAGGTTCAACAGTCTCACTCCTGTACTTGGCTTAAATTGCAGTTTCCAGACACTTTTCTAAAGCAGCCCCAAATATAGCATGTTGTGAAAGTAAGGTGGCTATGTCTACTAGTTGTCAAAAGGCAGCACCTATGTTTGTCTGAAGTCATCCTCTCTTTCAAGGATAATTCACTGGATGTCCAGTGAAGAGAAAGAACCTTTAGAAGGGAAAGTGGGTGGGTTGGGGGTGGGGGCTTAAAGTTGTCCTTCAGCAGCAAGTGCCTGGACAGCCATCTGAACAGACACACAGGGCTCCAGTAATGGTCTTTCCCACTATCGTGCGAAATGATTGTATTTCTTTTTAAATTATAAAAATTGTCTCTAAACCAGCATCCATAAATTTGAATTAGTATACACAGGATAATTTCCTCTATCATGTTCCTTTCAGAAGATGCCTGCCTTCCTGCCTGCCTGCCTGCCTTCCTTCCTTCCTGCCTGCCTGCCTGCCTGCCTTCCTTCCTTCCTTCCTTCCTTCC